ATAACAGGATTACACACTGTAATTATCATCTTATCCCCTAACATTTTATTCCCATCTCCCATCTGCCCAGCTAACAATCAATTCATCTACCTTCAACAGTGATTGGTTGGAACAGAATAGAAACACCGGAGATCAATCCAAACATCTATAACCAACTCATATTCGACAAAGGACCTAAAACCAACCCTGGAACAAGGACAGCCTCTTCAACAAACGGTGCTGGGAAAACTGGATGTCCACATGTCGAAGTATGAAGCAAGACCTCTACCTTACACCTTATACAAAAATCCACTCAACATGATCAAAGAACTAGAGATGCGCCACGACACCATGAAACTAATTGAGAGCATAGGGGAAACCCTTCAAGATATTGGAACAGGCGAAGAATGCCTGGAGACACCCCAGAGGCATGGGTAATCAAAGATAAATTAAACAAATGGGATTACCTCAAATTGAAGAGTTTCTTTACAGCAAAGGAAACAGTCAGGAAAGTGAAGAGGCAACCAATAATGGGAGATGTTATTCGCAAACTACACAACAGATAAAGGATTAACAACTAGAATCTATAAAATGATCAAAAAACACCACAGAATCAAAACAAACAACCCAATAAAAAATGGGCCAAGGACCTTAAAAGACATTTTTCAAAAGAGGAAATCCAAATGGCCAACAGCACATGAAAAAATGCTCAGGATCCCTAGCCATCAAGGAAATGCAGATCAAAACCAATGAGGTTTCACCTCACTCCGGTTAGATGGCTTACATACAGAAATCACCAACAACAGATGCTGGCGAGGATGTGGGGAAAAGGGACACTAACCCACTCTTGGTGGGAATGCAAAATGCTAAGCCACTACAGAAGTCAGTTGGAGATCCTCAGAAACCTGAATATAGCACTACCACAGGACCCAGCCATCCCACTCCTTGGAATTTACCCAAATGGAATTAAAGCGGAGAAAAAAAGAGCCATTTGCCCCTCAATATTTGCTGCAGCTCAATTCACAATAGCTAAAACATGGAATCAACCTAAATGTCCATCAATGGATGACTGGATAAAGAAACTATGGGATATGTACTCTATGGAACACTATAGCAGTAAAAAACAATGAAATCCGGGCATTTACAACAAAAAGGAGGAAGCTGGAAAACATCATGCTGAGTGAAATAAGCCAGTCCAAAATGGACAAATATCATATGTTCTCTCTGATCGATGGCAACTAAATGAGCCTCTAAAATGATACCCATTGAAGTGAATGGACACTATGAGAGACAATGACATGATCAACCCTTGTCTAGACTGTTGAGGAACAACTTACTATTTTATTCCTTTTAGTATTTTTGTTGTTGTTGCTCTGTTTGTTCTACATAAGACCACTGGTTGAGCTCTGTAATCAATGCACAATCATTCTTGGGCGTTTAAAATTAACAGAAAAGTGATCTCTGTTAAACATGGTAGTGGGAAGATGTATAGGTCGGCACATGCTCACTCGGACTTGCCTCCAATGGTGGAATGAGAGATGTGCCAAGGGATTTCAACTCAATCTTATCAAGGAGGCAGGTACCAATGCCAGCACACTTGGTTAAGTGATAAGTATAAGTACACAACCGATCAAAAAGATAGGGTAAGTGTGGAAGAGATATCACAAATAAGACCAGTGTAAACAAATAATGAAGGATAGAATTAAAAGGGAGAGAATGACCCTGCGGGGGAAGCACGACACACAGCAGACTCATAGAATGGCAAACACCCAAAACAGCACTCCTGCCTCAGAATCAACCCTTGGGACATTTGGATCTGGCTAAAAAGTCCATGAGAGTCTCACAGGCATAGAAAGCCATTACACGATGGCAAAAAAAAAAAATCTAAATGAAAGATCCTGGTGAACAAGACCCCAGCAGAAGGACAGGCCATCAAGGAGAGAGGCACCTTTCTCTGAAGGGAGGAAGGAACTCCACTGTGATATGGCCTTACTAAACAAGTTCAGAGTTGGTGAACTCAAGGGGCTTCCATAGCCTAGACAGCTCATAGCAAGTCTCGAGCGATTGCTGATCATAAATAAGAGTGCCATTTGTTAAGTCAACAACGGGAGTCACTGGGTACATGCTCCCCATGTAGGATCTCTGTCCTTAATGTGTTTTACTATGAAACTTAAAAACAACACTACTAGTCGAACAATACCCTATACCTTGTGCAGTTGTGTGAGTGCAGCCTATTGAAATCCTTGCTTAGTATATACGAAGTTGATCTTCTGTATATTAAGGTAATTGAAAATGAAACTCGATAAAGGGGGGGATGGAGAGGGAGTGGGAGAAGGGAGGAGGGCCGGGGGAGTGAGGGAGGTTGGGGGGAAGCCACAACAATACAAAAGTTGCACTTTGTAAATTCACATTTATTAAATAAAAAAAAGAAAAAAAACAGTAAAAAACAGTGATTGTTACAACTCATTCTTAAATAACAATCCATAGCACTGAAAGACAAACCAGGTCTCTAGAATCAATCTCATATTCTGTGATTCAAAAAATTGACTAAGACAGTTACGTTGTACATGCTCACACACAACTCAATCTTATTAGCACTAGCTTTCATGCCTCAAGCAGAAGCAGTAATTACTGGCCTCTGCCCTAAAATAAAAGCATCATTAGCCATTTCCTCCCTCAAGATGCATCTGTTCTAGTAGTTATTGAAAGTATTTGCCTATTTATTAAGCATTAGCCCTAGCCATCCAATTAACATTGATAAAAAGAAGCAAAAATGTCCCTATATGATCTTCAACTATGATTACCAGAAGCCCATGTAGAGGCCTCTATTGCCAAGGCAATATTCTAGGAGGCTATGGCATAATATGAGCCACTACAATCTTAGATCCCTTAAACAGACTACAGAGCCTATTCACTTTTGAGGATCCCTATGAGGAAAATCATAACAAGCTCCATCTCGCTCTGTCAAACACATCTGGAATCACTAATCACTTTTCATTAGTGAGCCACATTAACATTGATAATTGAGAGTTCTTATTCAAACATCATGAAAATTTACAAGATCTACAGCTCTAACACTGGCCCATGGCCTAATAACATCAATATTATTTTGTCTTGCAAACTCTATCACAGGCAAACTTCACTCTTTGGCCAAGGACTACAAAACAATTTCACCTCTAGCAGCAGCATGATGAACCCTTAGCAAACCTAACTCACTCAGCCTCAGGGCCAATCATTAATTTAATCAGGTGGCTCTTCACATAGTCATCATTCTCATAGTCCAAACTTACTACCATCCTAACTGAGACTAACCGGTGAATTAACACTGAACTCAGTCTACCTACTAATCATAACACCACAAGGAAAATTTATATATCCTATCAATAATATCCCTCTTTGATTCACATCAAGAAATAACTCATTCTCCATCACCTTCTTCCCTACTATCACCCAATCCTCAAATCATTTTAGGACACATACTTTTTTTTAAAGATTTTATTTGAGAGGTAGAGTTACAGACAGTGAGAGGAACAGAGAGAAAGGTCTTCCATCCATGGTTCATTCCCCAAATGGCTGCAATGGCCAGAGCTGCACCGATCCAAAGCCAGGAGCCAGGTGCTTCTTCCTGGTCTGACATATGGGTGCAGGGGCCCAAAGACTTGGGCCATCCTCTACTGCTTTCCCATGCCACAGCAGAAAGCTGGATTGGAAGAGGAGCAGCCAGGACTAGAACCAGCACCCATATGGGATGCCGGTTCTGCAGGCGGAGGACTAACCTACTGCACCAGCGCGCCAGCCCCAGGGCACATACATTTTAAACAGTTTAAAGACAACATTAGGTTATGAATGTAAAAACAGAAACTTAAGTTTCCTTATTCACTAAAGTATGCAAAAACCACTAACTCATGCTCAGAAATATAATATGACTTGCTTAATTTATAAAGGATAGAAATAATCCATTGGTTTTAGGAACCAAGAAATTAGTGTAACTCCAACTAAAACTAATCTATTTTCTTCCTCTATAACTTGACTAATTATAGTAACAGGCACCAATATTTATGAGGAAATTGCTTTTTAAATCTCTAATGTGCCTTATTTATTTAATTTTATTTGAGAAACAGGGCCACATTCCTATCTGCTAGTTCACTACCAACATGTGTGGTGCCAAAAATCCACGTGGGTGGCAGCCACTCAACTACTGCTGTTTCCCAAGATATGCATTAGTGGGCAGAGTCAGAAGCCAGAGTCAGGTCTCATGCTCGGGTATTCCAACATGGGACACGGACATCTGAACCAGCATTGTAACCTCCTGCTGAAATACTGGACCTGTACTGGGGGTAACTTAGGAATTTTCCATGCGGGATGTATATTTAAAAACACATAGAATACATAGGGGTCAATATGATCTGTGTTTTCAGGGATCGCTCGGGGGTCTTAGAATTTGACCTCCAGAGAGAGGGGAGGGCAGCTCGGATTTCTTATCCTGAAGTGAAAACTAGTAGGAAGCACAACCCTAAAGCCTGGGAATAACACCAGACACACCCCAAGGCGAGCCCTGGATGGCAGGATTCCCAGCACGGGGCGGGCATTGTGACCCCAACAGAAGAACGAGACCCGGCAGGGGACACCCCCCACCACCATATAGGTGCTTCCTCTGGGGTCCACCTGACCACACTAGGACCCTCAGTGCACACCCCCGGGGGGACCGCCCGGACCCCGGGGCCACGAGGGCCGCGTGGCTGCTCCACCTCCTTTCTCAGAGGCCGAGGCCGCCAGGCGGCGTCTCCACAAGAGCCCTGCCGGCCGGGGCTGTTCTGAGAGCCCACGGACGCCGTCACGACCACGCACGCCCGGGGTCCTCGCTCTCCCTTCCCAGCTGCCCGCTCCAGGACGGCCTCAGGGCCCCAACGGCGCCGCTCTGGCCGCGGACACCAGAACTCGCTAGGCCTGAGGAGCCGGCGAGGAAGGCGCCGCGCGGACGCGGGAAAGTTCTCGGGCCCGGGCCGAACCTGCGCCCTCACCTGGCGCACGACCCGCGGGCCCACCCTTCCTGCCAGTGTCCCCCGCTGCCGCTCGCCGCCTTGTCCGGGATCAGGGCTGGAGCCCTGGACGCCCGTCAGGTAACCGCACAACCCCGGACAGAAGAGCAGAAAGGCGGGCTTCGCGGAGAAAATGGCGGAGAGAGGGAGCCCCTTTTATAGCCCTAGTAGTGGGGCGGGGACCCCTGGGAGACCGACTCTGATTGGACAGCAAGCAAGGGCACCAACCAATCATAAAACGAATACTATAAAAAAACAGCCAGGAACCGGGAAGCGTTTGGCGGTGCTCAGGCCAGGCCGGCGATGGTGAAATGCAGTGTGGGACACAAAGTCGTGACTGTTGAAGGTCTTGACCTTGATGGAACGTGAGGAGGGATGGGGGGGGCGGCGAGCGTTACCCGCAGGCTCTGTCTTCCGTGGCTCTGGAGGATGAAACCACAGCGGGAAAGATGGCACAGAGGGGAAATCAGAATTTGTCCTTTGGCCGAGTGACTGTCAGGGGTTCCATAAGGACCCAGGTTCTCGGGGCCAGCATCTGACACAGGATAACCCCGTGCAAGGACGGAGGTGGTGGGGACTCCCCTGGCGGGGCTGAGCTGGGTGGAGTGGAGGAGCGCTGTGAGGGAGAGTGCAAAGAGGAGGGTGCGCTGGGGATGGATGGGTTAGGAGATCCTTTCTGTTCCTCATCAACCGTCTGGATATTTGTGCAGGGAACCCCAGGGGCCCTGGGGCATTCAAACACACAAAGCGGCTCACCTGTGCCTCTGCCCCTCACTAGAGGGAAGCAAGAACAGGTGTCAGCCTAAGGGCTCTTGGGGCTCTGTGAGGTGGGGGTTGTAAATAAGGTGTAGGATACTGGAGACCAGGACTGACTCCGTGTGAGGGGGGCACTGGTGATGCAGGGGAGGAAGGGCAGGCAGGCAAGGGTGGGGAGGGGGAAGGTCCTGGCCCGGGTGGAGGGTGGATTCGTTTGGGGGAGAGGTGATGCTTGATGCACAGACACGGGGTATCCACACTGAGCTCAGCCCCAAGCTGAGTGACTTCTGAGCTTCTCTGTAATTCTGGAGAAGGAGATGCCCCAGCTCAGGCAGAGGGCAAATGGTCATTTCAAGTTGTGATCCTGGAAGGGGGAGGGGGACAAGCACAGAGAACAAAGACGAAAATTCCTGAATGGTCACCGTCAGGACACTCAAGGTTCCTTTTACTACTTTGAACTCAGGACTCCATCACCCACCTGACACCCTATCCTGCACCCAACAAATGAATGTCAGCTCTAACCCTCCGACAGGTACCCAGCCCCAGCCTAGCCTGTCCTTCCTCTGGCAGCTCAGGGTCTGGCCTCCGAGTCGCTCCTGCGGGTTATAGAGGCGGCCGCCAGGGAGCGCCCTGCACCCAGCGTGGAAGTCACCAGGCCACTGTGGATCGCAGGTTCGTGCGGGCGCACCCTGCGGGTCAGAAGCCCGGCCTTGTCGGGGTCCTGCCGGCTCCTTTCCACCTGCTACCTGGCAGCCGTGGGCAGGGCGGGTTTCCCTGGACAGCCGAAGGGGTCTGAAGCTCCGGGCACAGCCTCGCCCCCGCCGCCTGGAGCACCAGGCACTGTGGGGCTTTCTGCACAGTCGCACCGGCCACTCCGCGCGCACCCCTGCTGCCCAGGCTCCCGGGGATCCGGAAATCCCTGAGGCCAGAATCCCTGTGGGCGCCTTCGTGGGAGGACAGGTGTCCGCGTGCCATCACAGCAGATTCAGCAGCAGTGACAGAGACCAACAAGGACGCCAACCGGGTTACCTGTGCGCCCAGCGCAGATCGTGTCTGGAACCTCTGCACCCCACAGTATTCATAGACACTGGCATAACTCGCTTATAACGTAACTGTGCATCAGGATTTTCATTATCACATAATTATTATTTTCATTGTTAGCACGCGTGCACACACACACACACCCCACGCCAGCTGCCCTGCGTGCATTCGGCTCCAGGCATGCACCTGCTGCGCTTGCAGAGATCTCAGCAGAGCAGAGGCACCGCTGGACACTGGAATAACCCTCTGTCTCCTCATCAAGGCTTTGCGCTGCTCGAAGCCCCTCTCTCAGGTGGGCAGAGGGCATCCGTCCACTGCCGGGACACCCGCACCACCGGGCCGGGCCACGTGCGAACTTTGGGAGGGGCCCCAGGTGAGGCCCCACTTCCCCTTGCGGGCGGCCGACACTTGTGTGTCCACATCGCGGCCGCCTGCCCTGCCCCTGGGCGCACGGAGCGGGACTCAGGGACAGTGGAGGCCAACTCCATACACGGACCGCGCGCTGCGGCAGAACCCGGGGCCGCCCCACGTGCTTCCAGGTTGGGCCCAGCCATGCGCAACCGAGGGCGCAGACTCGGAAACGTGTGGACTCCGCCAGCAGGCTCCCCATGCACACGTGGGCCCCCATTAACCACCCTGGTCCCCCTCACACGGAGCCTGGCCGCTGCCTTCCCCGGGGGAGAGACCCGGAATTGCACGCATCCTGGAAGACCCGATGCCGGAGTCCCGAGACACCTAGGAGCCAGGAAATGGGTCCGCAGCCCCAGATCGAGTCCAATCTCCGGCGAACAGGTGTGGAGCTCAGTCTCTGGCATGGCTGGAGCGATCCTGTGGGTATTGCCGGGCTCCTGGAACTGCTCCCGGGCACTGTCATCCCGGCCCAGTGTTCTCCAGATTCCGAGCTCCGGAACGAAAAAATAGAAGCGTCCGCCAGGGGGCGACCGACAGCCCCGCCAAGTTGGGGAGACCCAGGCCCCAGGCGGGCAAAGGAGCTGCACTCCCGACTCGGGCCCGTCTGCTCCACTCCACGCGACTGTCTCATCCCGGGTCGTCGAAGCTCCCTCCGACTCTGCCTTTCTAATAAATATTAATACAGAATTTTAAATACTGATAGAAACAAGCCTCACAAGCGTTGCAATAGGCGCAGTGAGGGGAATAGAGGCGGGGTCTGATGACCGGAAGTGATGCGGGGCTCCGGGCAGCGCAGGACAGTCACAATAAATTCCATTTGTAGAAACTCTTGAGCTTTATTAAAAGGAAAACGTTAAGTTACCAGCAATAAAAATTCATAAGTATTCCAATCAGAAAAGAGAATCCTGGGTTTTCAACACGAATTTTTTTTAAAGATTTATTTGAAAGGCAGACGAGAAGAGAGAGAGACCTTCCATCTGTTGGTTTATTCCCTTTATAGCCACAACGCTGGCAGGAGCCAGGAGCTTCTTCCGGGTCTCCCACGTGGGTGTAGGGGCCCAAGCCCTCGGACCATCCTCTGCTGCTCTCCCAGGCGCATTAGCAGGAGCTGGATCCGAAGCGGAGCAGCCGAGCCCTGATCCAGTGCTCACATGGAATGCAGGTGTCACCGTTGGTCCCTTTAGCCATAAATTTATTGGCGCTCTCAAGCAGAACTGGGGCCCCCCTGACCTGGCTCAGCTCTGACCTTGCTGGGTGGGTGGAGAGGGGGGCATTGGAAGGGCAGTGTCTGCTGCTTCTTCCCTGCACAGGAACCTGCGGTTCTCCCTTAAATGCTGGGCAATGCTGAACCGGGGACGGTCAAAGCCAGGGGACCTTTTGTCCTTTCTGTCTCCATGCGAGGTCAGCGCACATGCTCCCCGTCCCTGGACACAGCTTTTGCCCGCGCAGATCCAGAACCCGAAGGCTCTGGGAGGAGTTCCGGCTCCAGCCCATGTTTCCGTCTCTGACTCCTCGGTTCCCTGCCTTCCGCGCCCTGACGCCCGTGGTTCCTGGTCTAAAACGCACCGCGTCGCGCATCCGTCTGTGGGGGTCCGTGACGGTTCTTGGGGCCACAAAGAGGGAACAAAGTGAGAAAAAATATGACAGATGCAAATGAAAAATCGGGATGAAAGATGCTATCATGAGCATCAGGCAAACTTTAGCGCCAAGATCTAATGCGACACTAGGAAGAATTAAAATGTATGGAAAAACTTCACAACCCCAAATACAGAAACATAGAGGAATGCACTTGAGGCAAGAGAAAGAATGCCATAGAAAGGAGGAAGAGATGAGGATTCATCAACGTGAGATGGAAGAACAAATGACCCAAGAGAGGAAAGTTACAGTCATATGGGCTAAATGGGCCCAAGAGAAAGAGACGTGAGAATGGGAGGTGGAGGAGCAATGGACAGCGAAAGTCCCAGAAATTCCCACCTCCAGGTGGTGGTGGCGGCGGCATAGGTGACGAAGCTAACCCTGGAGTTCCGCAGCACCATGAGTGGTTTCGTCATGGGAAGCGGCATGCGCACTGAGCACTTTGGGCAGGGAGGTGCCGGGCCTGTGGGTGGACAGGGTCCTAGAGGAATGGGGCCTGGAGCTCCAGCAGGATATGGTAGAGGGAGAGAGAGTATGAAGACCCCAACAGAAAGCCCGATTTTAGACGTGACAGAGAGGCTTTCATTCCATTTGGTTTTGTCTTTTCTTGTTTAGATATCAATCTTTTACATTCATGCATTTTAGTAAAAAAATCTTCCTTTTTATGGATGTTAGCAATTTATTGACCAAATATTTGTAAATGGTCTGTTTGGGCAGGTAAAATTATTTAATGTAGTGTCTGAAACAGGAGAGTATTTTTCCCCTTTTATTCCCATTTTAATCTTTTTAACTGTATAATGTTCCTGAAGTTATAGCAGTGTATGTGTGCCACTGAATTTCCGAAGTGTACCAAGTTTTTTCCTGTGCTTCAAATAAATAAAAAATTAGTTATAATATTGACCTTCAACTTTTTCAAGTTTCTATGTACATTAGGCTAAAAGGTTCACTGGTGCTCGTGACCCCACCAGGTCCAGCCAGCGACCGCCTCCGCTCCCCTTTCCCCCCCTGAGGACCGAGTTCGAGGCCTCCCATCCCCGCTGTCCCATTCTGAGGGAAGCCTGAGCCACTGTAGCCCCAGCTTCTCAGCAGCTCAGGCACAGCCCCCGGGTCCCCCCACAGGCCTCGTGCCTGGGAACTTTGCGCGGTGGAGCCCTGCGCTAGGCCCTCGGGGGCGCCAGGCGGATGCACAGGTCCCTGACTGGGTGGGGCGATCAGAGCGTCTGCACCCTGGGAGCAGCAGAACCAGCACCGTCCGGGGGGGCCTGGAACCTCTGGGG